TTTGTTATTTTTTCTTTATAAAATATTTATTTTATTTTATTATTTATTATTTTATTATTTATATTATCTTTTAATTAATATATCTTTTAATTAGTATATGTATCTTATTTTTAGTTTTTATTTGTTAATTATAGTTTATTACTTGATTCTCACTTTATACTTGTAATATAATATTTTATAATTTTCTAAATCAAATTAAATGAAAATATATTATTTAATTTTTCTGTTTAAAAGAAAATTAATAATAATATTTTTATTAATTTAGAAAATTATAAAATATTATATTTCAAAGTTTTATTTAATTTAATATCAAATTTTATTCTGAAAACTTTGTTATATCTTTAAAACCTAAAAAATCTTTTAAGGTCAGAATTTTTTATTTTTTTCTAAATAAGAATTTAATATTTTATTAACTAATAATGCAAATCTTTAATTCAGGTTCAGTTATTAATAATTATTTTACAAGTATTGACAAATATTTAATAATCTGCTCCAAATAACAATACTAGTTCAATACTTTTGATCTCAACTATAAGTATTGGAAAAATGAGCAAAACTTAATAATGATGAAATTATGAAAGATAATACTATTGAAGACAAGTCTAGCACTTGCACCAATTCAAATTCAGTCCTAGTTGGCTTACTATCTGCTGATTTTACACGCCAATCCAGTAAAATTATATACGCGCGTTAAGCTTCACTTTAAATGATGGTTAATTTAATTTTATCAGCGATTTAATTTGATGATTATTTGATTTAATAACATATTTTGCGATATTAGTCAAATCATTGTGATAAATCTTTATTTTTAAAAAATTATTGGCGTTAATAATCTAATAATCCAAATAAATTTCAGTTACTTTCTATTTATATTAAAGTCGCGATTCCTCTTTTGTAACGAGAATTGGCGGAAGATTTTCAACTATATATTATATGTTTATAGAAGGAAAGTGTGAAATTATATATACAAAAAATTCAAATTGTTATTTTTTTAAATTAAAAAAATAAATTATGAATTAATTGAATTTCATAATGGTGATAATATAACAACAACGAGAGTATATAATTTATTGAAATTTACTTTTTTTCGCAAGCTCTGAATTTTTTAGCTTTTTATAAAATAAAAGATAGGGTGTATCTGATTTATTTTGTTCACAGTAGGTCACAATTTGTTTAAAACTTATTGTGCCCACTGAACTATCGTTCAAACAATACCATGCTCCATCCTCTATGGAATAATAATAATAATTAGTTAATAAATAGTACATTTAAGAAATTTTATTGAAATTAATAAAAAATGAAAGCTTGCCTTCATCTTTTGCATAAGTATAATAATGTCCATATTCAGCCGAGAATCCTGAATGCACCACGATAGAAGCCAATGAATATTGTGTAATAGAATCTTGTACAAATGTATCAAGTGTGGCCTCAGCATCACTTTCTCCATTTTTTTGTATTTGGTTTTCGTATAGTTGGTTATTTATCCCCTCAGAGTTTAAGATTGTCCCATCTTGATCATTTTTCAAATTCTCATCCCCATCTGCTACATTCTCCTCTACATTAACATACTCGTGAAATTCTAACAAAGTATCATCATCGTTATTCTGAGATTCAATATTTACATATCCTCCTTTCTCGTCATCTGTATTAATAAGTTGTCCTTTATCGTCATTATCGCTTACATTAACAAGTACTCCATTATCGTCATCCATGTTATCGCTTGGATTAAGTTCTCCGTTATCCTCATCCATATTATCGCTCGGATTAAGTTCTCCATTAGCGTTATCCATATTATCACTTAAATTAACAAGTACTCCATTATCGTTATCCAGAGCATCATTTGCGTTGATAGGTTGTTGCTCTTCTTTATTGTCAACGATAGTATCGCTTGTGTTAAGTTCCCTATCGTCATCCATAACCTCTACAAATTCATTACTTGTACCCTATTCATTTAATTAATAAATATATACACATCATTAAATAATTTATTAATTATATTAAGTATATTTAAATAAATAATTAAGAACTCACGCTTTGAGAGATAGTCATACATGTTTCCTCTTCAGATTCATGTTCATCGACTTGTGAAACACATGTTTCTCCAGTAGCATCCTATTTGTTAGTTATGTAAAGTCAAATATTGTAGTTTATGAATTGGAAATAACTAAAAATCTAACCTAAAGGCATAATGTATGTACACTTTGAGTGTTTGGCGAATTCATAACATTATCTTGATCCAAGTGTTCATACGACAGTTCGAGTGAATCTTGAATTACGATCTATCATCAACAAATTTCCCCATTGAAAAAAAAATGGAGATATCATATAAATATATAAATCATCAAATCAAATGGAATTATTTAAATAAATATGTATAATATTATACCGGTGTCCTTATTTTGATTCTACGTTGCGAGTCTCGGTCATACTCGAATCGGTTTAAAGTTAGAATTAAATATTCCGGGGTATCTACTATTCGCGTCGTCTGATGATGATGATGATATTATAATAAATATTTAATCAATATTTGTTTCTCTTAACAACGGATCAAAAACAAAAATTCTGACATAAAGTACCTTATAAGCATCGCGAAACCCATGGCAAACATCGCATGAGTATTGATTTTCTCCATTTAGTTTTTCAGGTAACAATAACTGTTTAATCATGTCGGGAATTAACAGTTTATTATTATTATCTGCAGAGAATGAAAAATTTTAAATATCAAGCACGTCATGTGACATTAAATAATTCATTTATGATTCAAACTTACTTGATCGGTTGTCTAATTGGAGAGACAAAGTCAACTCATGAAACTCTTCCTTTATTTGATAAAGAAATTAATCTAAAAATTCGATTAAGGTCAAAGAATTTATGAATGCTTTCGTACCAGATTTTTAGATATGGTGTCACAACTTAAACATTTTATTATATTCTGGAGTTTCCCTGTGAATGGAACAAGTGGAATATCAACATCGGGGGTTGACGGAGGAGATTCCACTTCGATGTCTTCATGATCTAGACGTCTTTTTTTACAATTGGGGACGGATTTAATTGCTTCATCTTCCATTTGACTAAATAAGATTCTGAATGAAAAAAGAATACAAAAATTCAATATTATAGATTACCAACATAAAGAGAGAGTCTAAATTTTTACTTTAAAAATTCATGACAATCTTGTTGCCTTCCATCATTAAGCCAATTGGGAAGTGCCTATATTTAAGAAGTATAGATTCAGTAAAAATTCTCACAAGAGAAGTTTAACAAATTGAGCTAAGCAACAAATAACCTGCAATAATGGCTTTGGCGAGTACCAAGGTCTTTCTTCCGACATTGCGCCAAAGCATTGTTGTAAGGCATAAGTCGTCGACGTGCGAGAGACTCTGAAAAACCAACTCACATCTGTTAATGTAGGAACTCAAAAAAAACCAAACGTATTTTTTCTTCGAAATCATTATCATTACCTAGTGATATCCAAGACACGATTACGAAATTCGACTGAATTAAATAATGCCTTTGACATATACGAAAATATGAGATTAAATATTACAATAAAAAAAGTAAAATGCTAATTATAGAGACCTGAAGCACGCTATTCATGAAGCATGTGTTCCGAAGATTTTTGAGACCTGTTTTCCGCTGTGTCTGTTGGCCTTTCTTATTGACTGATGAGAATGACGCGGCGGCGGCGACTGATGATGTCGCTGACTCTTCTGTTACTGATGTTTGTGTCTCTATCTCTTCCCCCTGATTTCCTAGTTAATATGCGAAAATAGAAATTCCATTAATAATGATATTATCAGCAACGACCACAACAATATTATCTCGTAGCATTCATACCATTTTTATTACCATTTTTATCACCATTTTTATTACCATTTTTATTACCATTTTTATTACCATTTTTATTACCATTTTTCTTACCATTTTTCTTACCATTTTTATTGCCATTTTTATTGCTATTTTTATTGCCATTTTTATTGCCATTTTTATTACCTGAAGTTCTGGTAATTTGCTTCTCTTCTAATCTTTTCTTTGCATCGGAATGGGAAATTTTCGTCTATTTTCAAAATAATATAATGCAATTTAATTCAAATCGTTTGCTGATCGATGAAGAGAAGTCTACGACACATCGCTACCTTTAGGTCATATTAAATTGAAAAAAAAAATAATTACCAGCTTGAGTTCTGTTAATTTTTCTTCAATCGCTGAATAAGCATCGACACTTGGAAAGTGAAAAATAAGGCATTGAGTTACTTCTGAGAGGTCGTTCAAATGTTGTTGATCACCCTGTTTCAGATAACAGATAAATATTATCAAAAATATTTAAAAATGAATTAATTTTATGTATGTACCTCTTGTGCTGCAATAATGTCTAATACGTCGGGAATAAATTTGATTATTTTATGAAAAACTTTATTCGAGTGCTGATACTTGTAGAGCATATAGGTAACAACTGGCATGACGTCTTCACGCAACTCGCTACTCTTTAATAACAGGAACACTAAACAATTTCAAATTATATTTAGCTATTAATTAGAAAATTGTTAAACCAGTGAAACAAATACTCACAATCTGAAAGTTTATCATCAATAAGCCTCAAAACTAGCTCATGTTTTTTAATTGCAAACATGGCATCCAATAAATCAACAATCCAAATTCCAATATTTTTTGCGAAAGGAAATTCGAGCATTCTAATCATTTTCTGTAATATTTCATCAAAGTTTATTTCTTTGTCACGAGAAATCTTTTGAATAAAAGGTAAAAGATCTAACAATAATATACAGAAATCAAAGAAAATATTTCGGGTTAAATCAAAGAAAATAAACCAACTTTATTTATAAAGGAGATTAAAAATTATTTTATGCATTATACCCTGTTTGAGTTCGCGCGGAATTTGACTAATCACCAGAGCTAATAATTCAGCATTCTTGAGGAATTTTATTGAGAGCTTTGTAAACACATCAACTAAAATGATTTGAAGATTTTCACTGTGTCATAATTTTACAAAAGATTAATCAGTAATTATTTTAATGATTGTCATAACAAATTGAATTAGAAAAATAATACGCTTACTGACCTTGATTTTTTGTAATGCTCAAATAATTCTATTGCATTTGCAAAAAATTTATCTTCGGAATTTTTTATGTCAGCGGGAGATTTAAGGATTAATCCACTTACAATTGCCTGAAAAAATAAAGATTATGATAAGTTCGAATATAGTTTTAGTTTAACAAAAAAAAAGTAGTTCAACAAGAATTCACCTCTAATACATGTTTAGGATTATTGGGTAATGTTTGAGGCATTAAAGCGTACATATTGAACAATATTTCTAACAAATCAATCCTTTTCTTGACCAACGGCAAGTGTTCTTTTGCAACCAATTGCAATATTTGAAAATCTTTCTCTATAGCATTTTTGTATCTTGGCTCATTTGTTGCATTTCCTGGGATTGAATTAATCAAAAATAGAGATTGATGGTATCAAATCTTAAATTAACAATAAAAAATCATATTTTTATTTTTCCCTTCACCTTTCGACTTCATATATACAACTTTAGTCATCGCCCTTAAAGTCTTGAAGAATGGAGCCGGCTTAATCACGAGATTTTTGTTAACTTTAGATAGAATAAAAAAATATTGATAAAAAACAACGACACAACGAGAAAAGGATGAGAGCATACATCTTTATTCGTATTAAACTCCGATTGTATTCTTTCTGTACTAAAATGTTCTAAGAAAAAGGCTACATGCTGATTTGAAATCTCTTCAAGAACCTGTTCTGAGGCATACGCGTAAAGACTCGGTTTTTGCTTCAAGAACATAAAAATCGAGAATAAATAGGTAGGTATTGATGAAAAGACATTTCAATAATTTCTTATGTGAAATATAATAAAGATCTAAATAGACAATACCTTAAATATATAATCATATGCCATTTCGCACCATTCAACCCGCTCGGTTTCATCCAAAGTTGGAACTTTACTTAATACAATCTTCATTATCTTCATTAGGAAATTTTTCTTGGTCTTTACGGGAAGTTCAGTTGCTAGTATACTCTTAATTAAATCAATAAAAGCTTCACCCTTCCTATCCATAAAAATAAATTAAAGGGAGACTGTTGATTGAAAACCAACCAGGCGCCGCTTATATTAGATGCCGAAAAGTGAATAAATGTCGAGTTTATCAAGATCCTTTTTATATCGGAATAATTTTATCCTGTTACGTCAGCGATCACTTATTGGCTGGTATTTTTTTAATAAATAGAACCAAGACCAGACTGGCACTTCTAAACGATTCTTATACCCAAAGTTCCACGAAAAGTAAGAAGAATTATTGGATAAAAAAAATTTAAAATGATTGAAATAGTTTGTAACGATCGTCTGGGCAAAAAAATTCGAGTCAAGTGCAAGTAATGTATTAATGTAATATTTTACAATGAAGGTTCCTTAAGCCCCAGAAATTGGTCGCAGATAATTAATTAATTGGTTTTTCTTTGTAGTCCTGATGATACTGTTGGAGACTTGAAAAAACTGATTGCAACACAGACAGGAACAAATGCACAAAAGATTATCTTAAAGAAATGGTAAATATTGGAAGGAATCTTTTCTGTTAATTATACGGGAATCGCGTCTTGCTCTACAATTAGTCTTTCTAATCATTCATATATTTCTTTATATAGGTACACAGTGTTCAAGGATCATATCACTTTGGATGACTGTAATTATATTCATTTTTGCCTTGATTTTATTGTTTACTATTCAGAATATATAAGATTAATTAAATATATTATAATCAATAGATGAAATCCACGATGGTATGAACCTCGAATTATATTACTCTTGAAGAATAATAATGATAATAAGTTGGTCCCGTGTTAAAGAACATTATGATGATATGCGAGTGGAAGTTATCATCGAACTTGATAGATTTTATATTTATTAATCTAATTGTATATTATGACTGCTAGTTGAATAAACACTTACTTAATATAGTTTTTCATGGATTCCAGTCGTTATAAACCTAATTCTTTACATAATTCTTCGTATTTTCTTCGTTTCTCTTTAGCAATTTGTGCATTTCTACGACGAACCTTTTCAAACTGTAGATTCATCCGTGACAAGAGACAAATAAACACTCGATACACAGAATTTTATAAATAAAAATATGAATAAACAAATAAGTAAATATATAGACCTCTGAGCCAAGACAGGCGTTCAATTCTATTTTTATCTTATTACATTTTCCAAAGTATCGGTTATAGAGCCCACTTTTATGGCATTCTTCCAATCGACGAATAATTTCTACACATGTATCTTTTCATTCAATCTTTAATTAGTATTGTTTTTAATTCAAGATCTATTTACGAATTAGATACCGACCTACCTTCATGTTTATGATATGCTAAAGAAGGGTGCATATTGAAAAGTTTAGTAATAAATAATACGAAATGAAATTAAACGTAGAAGAAAAAGTTGTCTAGAAAATTCAAATGAGTCATCAATGATTTATAAATTTTATTTAAAGAAAAAAATGAGTGATATGCAAATATGGGGAGGTGGCCGAGCGGTCTAAGGCGCCACGTTAAGGCCGTGGTCTCTTCGGAGGCGTGGGTTCGAATCCCACC